GGAGGAGGAGGAGGAGAAGGAGGAGGAGGAGGAGGAGGGGGAGGACAAAATTACCCAAGGACAAAGCTAGAATTCAACCCCACCACCTCCTGCCTCCACCTGGGATCGGGAGGTGTGGTTTATTAGTCTTCCCAACCAACACTCATTTTTGCTAAAGCAATTTTAAATTAAGTGACCTGGTTAACACAAAGAACAAATGGATGTAAATGCTTTTACAAGATAGGGAGATATGAAACCCAGGGTAAATGTTTAACATGCCACACACAAAGACCCAGTCATATTTCAGCAGCAACTGTTTGTTTGGCCTTCATGTTTCCAAGGAGGTACCTGCTTCCTCACAGCCTTTGCCTTTAGCCTAGTGCCCCACTCAGAGAGAGGTCCTGCAAGGCTTGAAGGCCGTAAATAGAGGATGACAAAGTAACACTCATAAGAGCTACCATGACTGAACGCCTGCTGTGTGCCCCGTGTATGCTCCATGTTTATGTTATCTATCTTAGCCCCTAAAATAAAGAAGTAGGTGAGATGGTACCAGCAGATTTCCACTTACCTTGGACTGGCCAGAACTAGCCACAGGGATGTTATTCATGGTTCTTGGTTGCTGAAAACAGAGTCTGTGATAGTTAACTCAAGCCAGCTAGGGGTGGTCTAAAACCTACACATAGGTCCTCCAGTCACTGGGAAAGCTCAGGAAATGAACTCTTGCCCAACTCTGAAAGTCATCCCATAGAATCAGGTCATCATGGGAACGGCTGTGTCTTCTACAGTCAGAGAGTTGCTGGATTGGAAGGCCACATTCTCCAACAGGAAGCTATCACCAAATCCTCATCTCTGGGGAAACGCAATATTTGTCACAACAAGGAAGTAACTCAATCAGAAAACTGTCCCCACCGAGCAGACCACACCACTTCTGCTGATTCCCCTGCTAACAACAACAACAACAACAACAAAGATGCTGGGGACTCTCTCCTCTTCCCATGTCTAGCTCAGATCCCACACACAGCCTCATGGTTCCTTCCCACAAATTCAGCTCCAAATCAATTATAAATGATTAAGAAAATTTAAATCAAATCTGAAACACCAGCTGCAGGGGACTCTGGTAAGCTGAACGTTAGACCCTAAGAGCCTCTAGAGCAGAGGAAAGCAAGAGAGAAAGGTGTTAGGACGGAGGCTGAGTATTCCAGACCATTGTAGGAGCCATAGTTGCTCCAGCAATTGTGTTGCTTGGTGCATGGTTGGCCAGCCTTCCCCTCCCCCATCCTCAGGCATCCCCAGTCATCAGAGCACATATATTATCTCATTGAGTCCCCACCTCAACCTTTTAACAAAGCAAGAGCAATGCCTCCCTTTACAGATAAGGAAGCTGAGGCTCATAAAGTTGAAACAATGTGCAAAGAAGTCACAATCAAGACTTGAACCAAGTTCCACGTCTCACATGATAGAATTTATGTTAGCTTTGCTGAAACTGAATGCCAGGGAAGTAGACTCTGTGTTCTCAAAGCCCCTTGTTCTGGCTACAATTCACTGGCTTTCAAAACGAGCCAACAACGCCCGGGACTCTCCTGTCTCCAAATCTTTGATCCAGCAATTTTCTTAATTGCTTGAGTTTCTTGATCCCCTGGACTACCTGAGAAGTCACTGTGTCAAACCAACTGAGTCAGAAATTGTCTTTTCCCCTACATCTGACCATGCAAGTCCTACCCCTCCTTAGGGCCCAGATCAAATGTTCTCTCTCCAAAAAGAGTTTTCCATTCTGACTGGAGTGAGATGAAATCTTAGAGTAGTTTTGACTTTCATTTCTCTAGTTGCTAGAGATGATGAACATTTTTTCATATGTTTGTTGATGGATTGTATTTCTGTGAAGTGTTCAGTTCCTTAGCTCATTTATTCATTGTGTTCTTTGTTTTGCGGGAGGTAAAGCGATTAATGCTCTATCTGAGGTATATGTGGTAAAGATTTTTTCCCATTCTGTAGGCTCTCTCTTCACATTGATGATTGTTTCCTTTTCTGAGAAGAAGCTTTTTAATTTGAGTCCATCCCATTTATTGCTTCTTGATTTTACTTCTGGCACTTTAGGAGTCTTGTTAAGGAAGTCAGGTCCTAAGCCAACATGATGAAGATTTGGGCCTACTTTTTCTTCTATTAGGCACAAGGTCTCTGTTCTAGTGCCTAAATCTTTGATTTACTTTGAGTTGATTTTTATGCAGAATGAGAGACAGAGGCTTAATTTTATTTTGCTACATATTTTTCCCAGCACCATTTGTTGAATAGGCTATCTTTTCTCACTTATCAAGAATACAAGCAATAATAAGTGTTGGCAAGGATGGGGGTGGGGAAAGTACACTCATACATTGCTGGTGGCATTGCAAATTGGTGCAACCACTATGGAAAGCAGTGTGAAGATTCCTCTGAAAACTTAGAATGGAACCACCATTTGACCCAGGTATCCCACTCCTCATTTTATACCCAAAGGACTTAAAATCAGCATACTACATTGATACAGCCAAGTCAATGTTTATAGTAGCTCAATTCACAATAGCTAAACTATTAAACCAACCTAGATGCCCTTAACAGATGAATGAATAAAGAAAATGTAGTACATATGAAGCCAGATTTAAAATTAGGTAGTCAGTGTAGTTAGGTATATCGGGTCTAATATGGAGTGAAATCTAAAATGGAGGCCATGTTGAGAATGAATTTCCGAAAAAGTTGAGCAACTCTTGGAATGTTAATAAAGCCCAGGAAACAGCCCCCAACAGATTTGAAGATAGCCCATCCCAAAGAAATGTTAATGAACAGCAAACTTGACTCTGAAGTGCCCAGATTACTTCTTTGGCCCACCTGTGTCCCAACCCTTCCCACCTACATTCCATCACCAAAAACTATAAAAAAGGGAACACATTCGCCCTTCAACGGATTCCATCTCTTGGGTCCCCTTCTTCCTCCGGGAGAAGTCTTTTCTGCTGTCCTTTAATAAACTTCTAATTTTCCACTCTGACCTTGCCTCTGCGTGCTTCTCTGGTGTTATTCTTCAACATTGGGGAAGCAAGGACTCGTCACCGGTCAACAACGGTAACACATATACACAAGGAATATTACTCAGCCATAAAGAAAAATGAAATTATAGCATTTGCTGGTAAATGAATGGTGCTGGAGAATATCATGCTAAGCAAAATAAGCCAAATCCAAAAAAACCAAAGGCTGAATGTTTTCTCTGATAAGCGGATGCTGATCCATAATGGAGAAGGGGGAGGATAGAGAAGAATGAAGGAATTTTGGATTATGCAGAGGGATTGAGGGGAGGGGAGGTGAGGTGTATGGGGATGGGAAGGACAATGGAATAAGCTGGACATTATTACCTATATACATGTATGGTTATACTACTGGTGTGACTCTGCACCATGTACAGCCAGAGGAAGAAATTGTGCTTCATTTGTGTACAATGTATCAAAAATGCATTCTACTGTCATGTATAGCTAATTAGAACAAACCAAAAATAAAAGTAACAAAAATTTGTTAAAAATTTTAAATTAAAAAAAAAGAGTTCTCCAGGGTCCCTGGCAAAGCACAACCCCACTTCCTCTCACACATTTCCACAATTAAATTATACAATTGCTTCGGGTTCCTTGAGGACAAGATCCTGGCATTCATCTCTGTGTCCCTTAAATCTCCTGGCACAGGGCAAGTGTGAAATAAAGACTCGATAGATGAGGAATGAATGAATGAACTTCCCCAGTGAGGTGCCCTCTTCTTTAGAATACTGGGTAATCTGCATCCAAGTAATATACATTAATTGATCTAGTCTCTTAGTGTTTTTAATTAGTGAACCTGTCCTCCATTACTACCATCCATCTGATTTCTCCCATATTAGTGAGCTCTCATTAGTTGCTCACAACTGGATGTTTGTACCCCATCCCCCAAAATTCATATGTTGAACCCTAATCTTCCATATGGGATTTTAGGAAGAGGTGATTAGGACAAAAGGGTGGAGCCCTCATGAATGGGATTAGTGCCCTCCAAAGGAGCTGAAGAAGAGTTCTCTCCCATCCTGAGAAGACACAGCTAGAAAACACTGTTCCCAGACACTGAATCTGTTGGTACCTTCATCCTGAATTTCTCAGTCTTCCAGAGTGCTGAAAAATAAATGTATTGTTTACAAGCCACCCAGTTTTGTTATTTGGTTGTAGCAGTGGCTACAAATGGACTTCTGGATTTGAACTAAAGCATCCCCCCTCCCATTTTGCCTTTATCATTCATTATGTTCATCAGTATCATTTATCATGTGTTCTTTTCCACTTTTAAATAAAAGAAGTAATTTTTTAAAAAAGCTAACTGTCCAGTCCAAATGCTAATGCTCATCTAAGCTCACTGTTTCTTTCTTTCTGTTTTTTTCTAATGAGTTAACTCTGTAAAAACCTACTGTATGATCAGGCAGTAAACACATTACTATTTAAAGACAAACAAAATCCATTAGTCCAAAAGAACTAAGCCATAAGTTAATGTAGAATGTATACAGAGTTTTTTTGTAATCTATTTATTTGTTTTGTGGTTTCTAACATTTAAGAAAATAAACTAAAAAAATAAAAAATAAAAAGAGAGAGAGAGAGAACAGAACGATATCCTTGAAGTTGAAATGAGTCCATTTTTTTCCCCTCGGAACAACCACAATAGGATGGTTTTTACACCAGGGCAGGCACTTAGCCTAAGAAACAATTCATCAGGCCAAAAAGAGTGGGAAAATCATGGAAGTAAAAGTATCAAGGAGTCTCCATAGTCTACTTTTAATCCATTCAATTTCCTGCTAAAATAGAATTTCTTCCATTTGTGTCAATCCTTTGGGGTCAACATATAGCAGCAGTCCCCTCAGTTTCTTCTGAAAACTTCCCAGTTTAGAGCCCCCCAAAGAGTGGCCAGCAGTCTCTGAGGCAGGTTCCCTCCTGCTGTGTGGTTAATGAAACTGGTAGGCCAGCCGCTTCCTCCTGGTTGCCATGGAAATGACCAGGCCGCTGGCCCTCTAAAAACGGAACAGAACAGCAAGTGCGAGACCACACATTCCAGCCTGGCTCGCAGATTCCACCAGCTGTCAAGCCAGGGTGAAGGATCAGTGGCCAGGCAGAGGTCTGTGGAGCAGGGAGACAAGGCCCCGTCAGGAACTCCGAGATGTAAGTTGTTTCTCTGCTCTTCTTTTCTAAAAAAACATATCTACTTTAACAGACACACAGTTTTAAATAGCTTCACAATTTCTGCTGCATGGCAGAAAAGTTGTGAAACAGTTTGAAGAGCCACTGACAAGGTCACCTCTTTGTGGCTTCTGTGTTCTCTGAACACAGAGTGCACGGATGGGCGGATGGGCCGTGCGTGGTCACCATGAAACACTTTCTTAGGCTCCCAAGAATATGAATTGCTTTTTACTGAGATCTGCCTTTAAAAGGAAACGTTTCCAGTGTATTGAGCAAAGAATGAAGTGGTCTTCTCATCTAGTCCCTGAATAGATAAACGCAGAACAAATATAATGATTTTTATCTCTGTGGAATCTGAGCTTTTTGTTTCTATTTTAAAACATCTGCCCATACTCTTGTGTTACTCTTTGATGTGAAATGGCAATTAAATCAAAGATAAAAATAAATTTCTTTTTTCTTTTTTTATTGTGATTGCAAACAAAGAAAACTAGGAACTCTCAAAGCATCAGCTTATATAGTATTTTTTTTTTTGCTGTTTGTCTTTTAATAGTAATGTATTTACTGCCTGTTTATACATTAGGTTTTTACAGAGTTAACTCATTAGAAAAAAACAGAAAGATAGATACAGTAAGCTTAGATGAGCATTAGCTTTTGAATTGGATAGTTAACTTTTTAAAAAAAATTGTTTCTTTTATTTAAAAGTGAAAAAAAATGTTAAATAATGAATGATAAAGGCAAGATGGGAGGTGCTTTAGTTTAAATCCAGAAGTCCATACACAGTCCTGCATAGATTTTATTGTTTAATAAACATGTTTGGGACAGTTTTTTAACAAAAGTATTCTGGTATATTTTGGGGAAAGAAAATGTTTCAAAAGCTTTGTGTATAATATTTAGAAAAACTTGTCCTTGAAAAACACCAAAAAAAACCAGACCTCGTTTGTTTGAAATTTTGTTTGAAAGATTTTTTAATGAAAAGAACAATCCTTGAGAAGTTTTTACTTTTTATGTTTAGACTGAATGATACAATGTTTGGAACTAAAAAATTATTTTTCATTCAATTTTTTTTCTGACAAAAATTGGGCATTTTCTGAAAATAATAGTTTTGATAAAGCATTTATGGAAGTAAGTACTTTTCAACAGCTGACTTGGATTTCCCAACTTATTTTTCCAGACCAATTTTTATTGCTTAAAGCTGGTATTCAATCAGCTTTTAAAATCCAGTGCCCAGTGGCTCCTGTCCCTGTGTATAGGAGGCAGTAAACTGGTGAGCCCCAGTGTGGAGAGTTAGGCCATGCTGTTCTATGGGCATGTGGCCAGGGGCAGATGGAAAAGCTGTGGTTTTGAACCTCAGTGGTACAGTCAACTGAGCATGTACCAAGTCACTCCAGGGGAAAACTTGACGGGTTGGCATTCATTGGCGAAGCCGTTCTCCCCAGGGCTTGTGTTGAGTAGAAAGATACAGTTGCTGAACTTCAGGACCTCCCAGTGGCTCACTCCCTTGGGTATGCTTTGTCCCCCATTCCATGCCTATGTTAGCAGATGCAGAGCTCAGTTCACAGTGTCCTCTGTTCTTAAGATGAACTTCAACTTCATTTTTTTTTTCAGTTTTCTTTTTTTAATGCTTTTATTAGTGCATTAGAGTTACACATATTACTGGGCTTCATGGTGACATAATTCGAAATGCATGGGATATAATTTGCTTCATTTCAGTCCCTTTCCCTCCTTTCTTCCCTCCCTCTGTTCCTCTTCCTCTATTCTACTTGTCTTTCTTCTATTAATTTATTGTTTTTAATTGGTGCTCTATAGGTATGCACAAGGGTGGAATTCAATGTGGCAGACTCATATGTGTACATAGCACAATTTGGTCAATTTCATTCCACAGCTCCTCCCTTTTCCGTTCCCCCCTCCTTACCTCCATCTTCTCTATGCCTCTTCATGCCTGCTATTTTCATGGGGTCTCCTCCTTTTTCCCCTTGTTTTGCTCTACCTTCAGCATATGACAGAAAACATTTGAAACTTGACTTTTTATGAACTTTGTAAACACTTAATTTATAAATGATTCTTTTTCCAAGAGTGTTTCTGAAAAGCTTATGTGTTATAGAACCCATTCAATTCCTTTTGTTGCCTACCTATTTAGTGTGAGATCTCTATAGACATTTTTAGTTGAAGGCCACAGAGTCTAGTAATGGGATGGAAGGCACAGGACATCATTTCAGCCTGCCCGTGATCCCTGAGTGGGAAACAGCACTGTAATTTCTGCTGTGGATCCTTAGAGTGTATTTGGCTGTCTGAATTCAAATCTTGGCCATTACTAACTAGCACTGGGACTTGGCACAAGTTATTTAACCGCTCTCTGAGTCTCCAATTCCTACTATGAAAATGGGACCATATTGTCAACCTTTAGAATAATTGCAAAGATTAAATTATATAAAACATGGGAAGTACTTAGAAAAATACCTGGCACAAAAGAAGAATTCATTATGGGTTATTATTAATAGATAAAAATATATATAGTTCCTGATTTCAGCCAGTTTTCAACATCTCTCACCTTTTTTATTTTTAAGCACATTGACTCTCATCAATGACTTTTTTTTTTTTCCAATGGGTTCAGTCCTACTGGGGGTTGAACTCAGGGGCACTCAACCACTGAGCCACATCCCCAGTCCTATTTTGTGTCTTATTTAGAGACAGGGTCTCACTGAGTTGCTCAGCACCTTGCCTCTGCCAAGACTGGTCTTGAACTCACAATCCTCCTGTCTCAGCCTCCCTCCGGAGTTGCTGGGATTACAGGCTCTATGACTATTTCTATACTTAGCTAGCTTAGCCTTAAGGACACAGGGCTGAGGAACAGTAACATTTTGATACAATAGCATTTCTCTTCTATCTGAATTTTCTTAGGAATTAAGAGTTGTGTGTTTGACAGATGTCTATTAGAAATCCAGGAAGAACTGTCAAGGAAAATACTAGACATATGAGCCTGAAACTTGGGGAGGAGATTAGGAGTGGGACATACATCTTGGCGAGTTGTCAGCGCACTGGTGGCATTGAAAGCCGTGAGGTGTTCTGCAGTCACCAGGAGGTAATGCCCATGGAGAAGAGAGTCAGGCAGGGTGGGAAGATGAGATGCCTCCCAAGGAAACAGAAGGAGTGTCCATGGGAGTATCAAAAAAAAAAAAAAAAAAAAAAAACAGGAGAAATGGGGTGTCCTGGAAGAAGAGAAAGTTCTCCACTCAAGAAGGAAAAAGGCAACCAGGTCAAATGCTGGTGAGAAGTCAGAAGATATGAGGCCAGGAAATTGGCTTTTGAATTTGATGTGTTGAGGGGTGGAAATCCCTGAAAACTTGATAAGAATGTTTCTGAGTGATGGCAACAAAAGCCTATTGAAGTGGCTCAAAAATTAAAACAGAGCTCAATGGTAGAGCATTTGCCTAGCACAGGAAAGGCCTCAGATTTGATTGCTGGCATTTAAAAAAAGAAAAAAAAAAGTCTAACACAAACCGGTTCTGACCTCTATATGACCACAGATTTGCTTATAAAAGCTTGTTTGCAATCTATTAATGGGAAACTGACATAGCACTAAGAAAAAGAGGTCTGGGTCAAGTAAGAACTGTCAGTTATGTCCTTAGCCTCCCAAAGTTTCATGAAAGAGATGAAACTTAAAGACAGTTGAGGAAATGGAGGTGGTTTCTTGGAGAAGAAACAGATATCGTCTCCAGACCTAGCGGGCAGTGTAAGCAGCAAGAGGGAGAAATCAACTCTGGGTTGGAGAAAACATAATGCCACACACACACACACACACACACACACAAACACACAACTCCTTCCCACAATGCCTCCCCTTTCTCAGTTTGATGTGTTTCCAGTAAAAGGATTACTTCCCATTTGCATTTCTTGAGAGGCCTGGCCTCCAGTGTCATTAGGGAAACCAGAATCTTCTCTGTGGCCAGAGATTTGAAGAATTCCTTTGGAGTTGCACCTGCACCATTTGATGGCCACTCAGCTTAACCCAAATTGTGATGCCCTAATTACCTACTGGAGCTCTGCTGTTGTCACTGAATTAACCTCCAAAGAGTCATCAACGACATCAGGATCTTTTTAATAAGCTCCGTATTTTAGACTAGTTTTAAATTTACAGAAGAATGGTGAAAATAGTACTTTGTCACAGTTCACAAAGAGCTGTTGATGCACTATATTATAAGCTGAAGTCCAGACGCTATTCAGATTTCCTCGGATCTCATCTAATGCTCTTTTGTGTCCCAGGCTCCCATCCACAATCCCACACAGCTTATACTCATCATCCCTAGGAGGCTTTTTAAACTCTTAGAGATCTTTCAAGAAAGCAATGAGATTTAAACGTTCTTTGATTCCAATATTTATATCTTAAACCACCAAAGGAAAACTTCATTTTTACTTATCTAAAATCTAATGGTGATAGGTTTAATGTGAACACAGATGAAAGGAAACAGCTCAGGAGTGACTTCTTGCAGTAATAAGTTCAAGGTACCTTATAGGAATGTAATATGTACAACTGAAAGGGGAAGGTCTGAATCCCCCTTTATTGTTGTAGAGCAGGTAATTAAAATGTTAAAGGCTTGCCAGCCTTGCCTTGTTTCTCATCTCCTAGCAAAGGGATTAGGGAAATCATTTCCTTGGCAACCTCACACGAAATGCTGGCCCAGTGATTTGAGCAAAGCTCTCCCTGAGTTAGCGATGTAAGACTAGACTCTTAAATGGTAGGTTGTGGGGCACTTTTGCAGCAGGGGCTGTTATAATCCCCCAAGCGAGAGCAGTGAAGGTAAGGGCTGTGTCATGCTCACAAATGTCTGAACCCCATTCGGCCAGCACGCTGTATTTATAACTCCTGAATTTACAGACTCAGCCAATCTCTGATCAAAAATATTCAGAAGAGGGGTTGGGGATGTGGCTCAAGCAGTAGCGTGCACGCCTGGCATGCGTGCGGCCCGGGTTCGATCCTCAGCAAC